TGAGCTCGCTCGATGATAGTGTGTTCTGGAGGAGAATGAGTCATTCTGATAACATGAGAAATACTCCAATTTCCACAGAATCTGCAAAAACGCTGTGAGGTATAATTTGACCCATTTTCGGTCTTAAGTTCTGTGGGGACACTTAGGGCTGCCATGCATGCATAGGTATGATGAATGACATATCTGGCACCTTCTCCAGGATGAGCAGATGCCCGTATAACATGAGAAAAAGTATCAATGCACACATGCACATATTTCAACCTTCTAAACTCACCAACATGAGTGACATCCATCTGCCAAAGTTGTAATGCTTGTAAGCTATGAGGATTGATTTTCAAGCTAATGCCTAGCCCATTTTTGTGGTAGGCTGAACAGGCCCACACTACACTCTATACTGTAGGGGTTTGCAGGGTGTCACCTGTAACACCTGGAAGCAATTTATGTTTCCAGTCTGTTCCCTCCTGCCAGGTCACTGCTGCTCGTGGAGATTTCCTTCTAGCCTCTGTAAAAACAGTAATCCCTTCCAGTTAAATCCCAAATCCGTCGCCTTCCCTTTATGACAAGTTGTGCAAACAATTCAGGCCGTGCCATGATTGTCTTTTGGGGTTGATAGGGCAAGAATACCCAGTCCAAAATTCTTACGCTGACTGTTATTTGACAGATGACACCTAACGGATGTTGTCTATTCCCTCCAGAGTTGACAATCAGATACTGGACCGGCTGATCTTCTAGTATTTTACAGGCATACCCTGCAGTTATTTTACCTGAGATGTTAACTATAGCTGCTTTTTGTACCAGCTAGAGCTGGTCAAGCGTGTTGTGTGCTAAAGGTTTTATGTTTGACCCAAGGAAAGGTTTTATGTTTGACCCAAGGAAATGTCTGTGCCCTCGAACACATTCTCAGTTTCATCCGGTTAGTCTGGAAGGTCCCCTGAAAAGAATGTCTGATGTAATGAAACCTCTTGTCTATCTAAAAACTGGGGAAGAAACTGCTGTGTTTTGGCTTGCAGGGCGGTGGACTGGTTTTCCTTGGCAAGCATCCTTTTCCTGCTCCTGTTTGCCCCATAGATGGTGGATTACTTCTTCATCATGTCCTGTGAGCAGTGCCAGTGCTCTCTGAGTGATCTCCTTAGGGACTTGCTCCCAGGGAACGCACATCTGCCTGACATCTGGAACAAGACTCCTACGCTGACCCACCGGGCTGCTGGCATCTATTGCCTTTGGATGGCTTTCCAGGTACAGGATTGAGTTACGAACTGATGAAGGGTCTGGTTTTTCAAACAGCTCTTGGATGAATCCTTTTGCACCAAGGGTAGTGGA